GCTGGGGCAACGGGATGTGTACCCACAGAGAGGGCTCGGAGTGCCACCTCTGGCACGCGTACCATAGGTTCGCCACCACTGATGTAATGTAAAGTGGATGATGCAAGAATGGGAATGTCTCAGCAGGGTCTGTGACTGCGCCTTTAAGAGTCTGAGTATAAAAGGGAAGTTTTTTGCTAGAGTCTTTCTCTCTCATCCGTTTGACTGCTGTAATTGCTGTTTACTGGAGTTTGCTGTTTCACCAAGTGTATGTATCTTATTTCTAGTGCAGGGGTAGGCAACCTTGACTCTTTTATGACTGGTGGACATCAACTCCCAGAACTCCTGAGCCAGCCATACTGAGGGGAAAGGGAGGTTTCCAAGCTGAGCCATACTGGCTCAGGAATTCTGGGAGTTGAAGTCCACGAGTCATAAAAGAGCCAAGGTTGCCTACCTCTGTTCTAGTGTATATTTGTAGATATTGTATGATAAACCACATTTAATTACAAACCACTGTTTACTGTATTTACTCCTGGGTGACCTCAGCACAATAAGACTGTGCATGCTCTGACAGATCACGTGACCACGGGGATGCTGCAATGGTTGTGAGTGCGAAAAATGGTCAGAAGTCACTTTTTTCAGTGCCGAATGGGCATTAAATGATTCCTCTCTCTGTAGGGCAGTCTCAATATCAAACCAACTTACGTGTGCAACGTGTCTTTGGCACCACCAACACCAACTAACCGCCGCAGCCAGAACATGCTTGAGGGTTTCTAATGTGTCCCCAAAAGCTAAAAGCCTGGAACAGAAAGGCCGTCTTTGGCTATGGAGAATAACTGGAGACCTGCTGAAAACAACTACAAATTAACATTTTCTTTGCAACACTGTTATTATCATTTTTGACTTTCCCAGCCAGCTTCCAATAAGCAAAGTCAACGGGGCAAGCCAGTTACGCTTAATGCCGTGGTAAAAAACAGCAACTTATTTAACGACTGCATCGCTTAGAGATGGAAATTTAGGTCCCAATTGTCGAGGGACGAGTTATGCTCTTAAAGCAGGGGTCTTCAAACTTGGCCCTTTTATGACTTGTGGACTTCAACTCCCAGAATTCCTCAGTCGGCCATTTTGATGAAACCGTGGGCTTGGATCCAGACCAGGGGTCTTCAAACTTGGCCCTTTTATGACTTGTGGACTTCAACTCCCAGAATTCCTCAGTCGGCCATTTTGATGAAACCGTGGGCTTGGATCCAGACCAGGGGTCTTCAAACTTGGCCCTTTTATGACTTGTGGACTTCAACTCCCAGAATTCCTCAGCCAGCGTGCCTGGCTGAGGAATTCTGGGAGTTGAAGTCCACAAGTCATAAAAGGGCTAAGTTTGAAGACCCCTGTCTTAAAGCAAACGAACATTAACCACAAGCTTTAATCAAGCAATATAAGTAGTCCTTGACTTACAACAGTTCATTTACTGACCGTTCAAAGTTATAATGGTACAGAAAAAAGTGACTTATGACTGTTTTTCATACTTACGACCAATGCAGCATGCCTGTGATCATGTGATCAAAATTCAGATGCTTGACAACTGGTTCCTATTTAGGACTGTTGCTGTGTCCCGGAACCCAGATGTATTGGCCAACTATCGTCCAGTCTCCAACCTTCGCTTTGTGGCGAAGGTTGTTGAGAGTGTGGTTGCACAGCAGTTTCCTCGGCACCTGGAGGAAACAATCTATCTAGACCCTCTCCAGTCGGGCTTCAGGCCGGGTTACAGCACGGAAACGGCATTGGTCACGTTGGTTAATGATCTCTGGAGGGCC